TCCCTCTGGGGCTTGGAAGACTTGGGAGTATTCCAGTGGACACGGCCTGCTCAGAGACTGAAACCCCTGATGTAGCCAAATATGCAGCCACTCCACTCTTGAACTCTTGTAATTACCTTGAGTCAATTCCTATCTTTGCTTAAGGCAGTTTTAGGTTTTATAACCAAGAGACCTAACCAATACAAGCAATATTTGAAAGCAGTGTTTAAAGACGGAAGACAAAGTTCTCTGCTCAGATTTTTCTCCACTGTGAAGCTTCTGTTACCTCCCTAAATCTAATGACAGCTAGGTTTTGTTCTGTGCATTAGCCATCCCTCTATAAGCACATATCTTCCGCACATCAATTGTTTGCCTATGTTTCTTGTCAAGCATTCAAGCAGTACCAAAGGAACGTGGAGAAGCATCTGTCTCCAAATCCAAGGGGAAGAAGGCTTTTTAAACTGGCACAAGGTGCCTCCATAATCCTTTTCTCCCAATTCTAAATTTCTAAATGTCGAGAACTTTTGGCAGCAGTCAAGTTCCTAGGAATCCTGGTTTATTGAGACCGCACCACCTCCGAATTCCCTCGTAGGCGTTCTGAAATTCACGAAACAAATCCGACTGGCTTTCATATATCCCTTTATTTCTTGCTACTATACACTTAACAGGGCTCCCAACAGCGTGGGGTCGGGGGACGACTGGGCGGCAGTTGGGGTCCCGCTGGCCTCGGGCTGGGCTGTGGTCCGGTCCGGGGCCGTCCCAGCCCCTGGCCCGGCGCACCCGCCCACAGTCAGGTTGGCTACGTTCTTCATGAGGTTGAACTGCTTCTTCACGGAAGCGGCGCTGCAACCCGCGGGCTCTGCCCGACAGTCAGGCCTACACCCAGATGGTACCTACGGGGCTTCACAACTGAGGTGACAGGCGTCTGCGATGGCAGCTGAGACTACATGGGCCATTGACCGGTCTTTTGAGCGTCACTTCCGGCGCGCCGTCTACCCGCTCTGGGGGCCGACTGTTCGGGGCCGAGGCGAGGCGAGCCGAGCCGGACCGATCGGAGCCGAGCCCAGACAAGCCCGATCTGGAGAAGATCGCGAGGCCCAGGGCGCAGAGCAAGGTGGCCTCCGCGGGACTTTGCCCCAGCTCTTCGCACCTCAGGTTCAGCGACGCCATCCACCCACCCTCTGGCAGATGGTGGCTGAGAGGTCCTTGAAACAGACAGACCGTATTAGCCAAAAGTATAATGGTCAAATATTTACCACATTGAAATTTAGTGTGATTCTCAGGTATTTTCAGGGTCCCCTCCACTCTTCCACATTCCATGTCACTTGGTTTTTGTCTCCATCAGATCACTCGTGGTGTCGATCTTCCGGGAAGTTACGGGGAAAGCGAGACCAGCAGTCTGCCCCGTGGCTGACCATCCTCCTCAGACCAGCAGCCTTCCCCCTGCGTGACCATACTTGGATCACTCGTGGTGTGGATCCTCCCCAAAGTTATAGGAAAAGGGAGACCAGCAGTCTGTCCCGTGGGTGACCATCCTCCTCCCCAAAGGAATCCCAGGCAATCTTCCCAGTGCTGGGGTCTACTCCCAGTAAGTTAATTTTTTGTCTGGGGTCCAGGTGGGGCTATGGAGCCCCTTGACTGAATGCAAGCAACACTACGAAGCAAAGACCAGGGTTGTTGGTTTGGGGTTTTGCAACGAGAGAAGTTGAACAACACATGCCTTTCCCTGTCGATTTTATTTTTTTCATCGTCAGTGACTAGGCCACTGACTGCCAGGGATATGCACTTCTTAGGGGTCAGGAGAACAGAGAGCAGTAGCAGGGGAACAGTGCTGGAGGGAACATCATCACCCTTGTTTGAACAATTACTGTTAGGACACAGCCAGGGAGCCAGTCCTCAATCTTCCTGGGGTGATGTGTGATGGTCTCCTTCCTTGCCACAAACAACACAAAGGATTGTTCCTGGGACGATGCTGGGGGCACACTTTCCTAACAGTGTCTCCATGCTGTCCCAAGGAGCTAGTGGTGGTCACGAGGCTAGACATAGTAACTGAAAAGTTCTAACTGGAACATCGATGAATGGAAATCAGGCGCCCACCGGTTAGGATGTTGTGTTGCTACTGCCCCCAGGTGGGAGCCTCAGAGTCCACCTGGTAGGGACACAGGCCACACCTGATGGCCCCTCCCAAGTTCAAGTGTGGCAAAGAACAGAGCTCTTCTAATAAACTGAGCAACTTCCATTCAACTCCTGGGATTCATTCTGATTGGAGCAATCTCCTTAGCACTTCCCCCAACCCCACCATCCTCCAAAAGGTGGCAAGGCGATTTTGTGTGCCAATTGGCCAAATCTTGGTAAGTTTCCACCCCTGGTGTCAGGCAAGAAGCCTCTCTTGATTCACGTGGACTGAAAGGAGGGACGCTTAGTTCTCCATAAGAAGCTTTAGCTATTTTTGTTTTGTTTTGTTTTGTTTTGAGAAGGAGTTTTGCTCTTGTCTCCCAGGCTGGAAGGCAATGGTGCAATCTCAGCTCACTGCAACCTCCACCTCACGGGTTCAAGTGATTCTCCCACTTCAGCCTCCCAAGTAGCTGGGATTACAGAGCCCGCCAGGATGCCCGGCTAAGTTTTGTATTTTTAGTAGAGATAGGGGTTTCACCATGTTGGCCAGGCTGGTCTCAAACTCCTGACCTCAGGTAATCTGCCCACCTCGGCCTCCCAAAGTGCTGGGATTCACACCTGGACGCTCTAGCTATTTCTTACAGAAGAAAGAGCTACTGGAGAGCCAAAGCAACAGTTGTCCATTGTAGCCTTCTGGGGAGAAGTTCCATGGTGAATGCCCAGCTTTGGGCCCACAATATTAATGTCCAAAGAGCTTTTACACTTCCACGACTCTTCTCTTGACTTTGTCAAATGATGCAGTCTAGTGGGCAGTGAACCTTCTCTGGCTGGGATATGGCTCAAAGACTACCTCAGCAGTGTCTCGTGCATTAAGGTGTCATTTAGCCTGAGATGGCTGAGCTAGCCCACTCTGTCATAAACTTTCAGACCCTCAACCAGGAACTTACATGGAATGAGCTGGCCCTGGAGGTCAGCTGGAAGGAGATTTTGGGATGACCCCAAGTGAAAAACTGACCAGCTATTTTGAATGAAAGGCTTATCCAACAACAAAAGTTTGTGGACCCATCTGCCACCACCTTCTTGCAATTGCCCTCAGTCTCACTGTGCCGACCTATGGGATTAACACCACGTCATACTTGCTGTTAACACCTACTATCCACTAACACCCATCGAATGCGGATACTGCCAAGCTGGGAGATGACGCTTGTGCAATAGTTTGTCTTTTTGGCAAATGACCATTCCAAGAAAATGATGTATTTCATCCCATCAGCAGTTCCCCTAGCAAAGCTCTCTACCCTTAGCCATTCTCCTGTTATTTCTGCTGTGGCTACCAGTGAGATCTTGTGCCTCCACTGAACACTGAGCTCGCATTTGATATTTGACGTCACCCCAAGGTGTCTATTCTGGGTTTCTGTTGTTTATTTTCCTTTTAAAAAAATGAGTGCAATTCAAAGTTCTTAAAGTACATATGTTCCCTGCTTCCAACAACTGACAGATAACAAAATGGAATATACAAACACATTATTTATAATGTATATTAAACATATATTATACATATACAAGTTACACTTCTTGCTTCTGGCTAGATTCTCTGCCCATTGCCGGAGTGCTGAGGATTCTGCTGGCTATTCCGCCCTGAGTTAATTACAGCTATACAGTTTCATGACCAGCAAGAAACCAGGCGACTTCCCCAGTACATCTTGACTATATAACATATATTTTGTACTGAAGTTATTACAAAATAAATCCAGAACATCTTGAATATGATCATAATGAAACAGACACATGTGAAGCCACTCCCACCTGGGAAACGGAGGATGTGTCTAGGTGCTTCTTCCCTGCCTCTCCCTCCTCTCTCACTATGCTACACTCCCAGCTCCCTACAGAATATCCTGATTCTTTTTTTTTTCTCATGCCTCGGCTTTTCTGTACAGTATTTTTACGATATATGTATTTTTCTCTGAACAACGTTAGTTTTACTTGGTTTGAACTTTACAAAAGTATTGTTAGACATCCTTCTTTCACTGAACGTCGTGTTTCTGAGATTCAGCCATTGATGCTGCTGCCTGGTAGCGCTAGTTCATTTATTATCACTGCCACATGGCTTCCAGTTGAATTACTTTTCCGCATACTACTTCTCTCACCACTTTTCTTTTCTTTTTCTTTCTTTTTCTTTTTTTTGAGATGGAGTCTTGCTCTGTCACCCAGATTGGAGTGCAGTGGCGCGATTTCAGTTCGCTGCAACCTTCGGTTCCCGGGTTCAAGCGGTTCTCCTGCCTCAGCCTCCTGAGTAGCCAGGACTACAGGCACCCGCCACTACGCTCAGCTAATTTTTGTATTTTTAGTGGGGTGGCGGGGGGCGGACGGGGTTCACCGTGTTGGCCAGGCTGGACTCGAACTCCTGATCTCAGGTGATCCGCCCACCTCGGCCTCCTACAATGCTGGGATTACAGGCCTGAGCCTCCGTGTCCAGCCCCTTCACTACATTTCAAAAGCAATTTTATGTGCAAAGCCCTCAGCACAGTCGCTGGCAGAGTCAGCACGCAACAAAGTTTTGTAAAACTGAATAATGACACTAAGCCCGGACTGAACGTAACAACTTACACTTGTTGCTTCTGGCTGGATTCTCTGCCCTTTGCCCGAACGCTGAGGATTCTGTTAGCTTTTCCGGCCTGAGTTAATTATAGCTTTAAGATTTCTTGGCCCGCAAGAAGAAACCTAGGTACCTAAGACTACACTTCCCAGAAAGCATTGCGGTACTCGGCTTCTGCTGTTTAGTTTCTTTTTCCTATAGCCAAATTTCCGGTTTATGTGGGCGGTGCCAAAATAATTATCCAATGAGCAACTTCGTAGGCTGAGAGGGCGGGATAATTGCCCAGCGAGCGACTCCGCAGAGAAGCCAATAAGCGGAGAGGTTGCTGGGGCAGCCGACGTGGGCGGCGTCACTGAGCCGCGCCAGCTGAGCCAGGTGGATTCGTCTTCTCGCCTGCTGCTTTCCCCTCCTGGCTCGCGCCGTCTCCCGCCGCCTGTCGATCCCGCTTCCATGTCCCTGGCGGACACAGCATCCCGGAACCTCCACGCCCATGGCCACTAGGCAGAGGGAGTCGTCCTTCACCTCCTGCTCTTCCACCTCGAGCTGCGACGCGGACGACGAGGGTGTGCGCGGCACCTGCGAAGATGCTTCCCTGTGCAAGAGGTACCTGTCGGGGGACGGGGTTCGGGGCCTGCATCGGGGGCTCGGGCGTAGGTGGGAGGCGGGACTGCCTCTGAGGAGCACGCTCAGAGGCCGGCAGGGATGCTGCCCCTGCCTCGCGCGATCCTCTCGTCCCACCTGTGAAGTGCGCAGAGCAGGGTTTCGTTTAGTTAGCGAATCCTTTCTGAGCATTTGCTGTGAGCCAGGCAGGGGGCAAGCCTGGGTACCGTGGATGGGAACAGGCCCCTGAACCAGGCAGACGGGGTCTTGGCCTTCTTGGAGCTCAACGCTGCTGGAAAGGCAAACGTGAGGCAAATAATAGCTCCTCTCGATGGGTTACGAGGATGAGAGGTGCAGGCTCTCTCTTTTGTAGGTTGCATTCTATAGGGAGTTGGTATGACCCCTGTTGTGCACCTGAAACTCAGGACAACGACGGGAAATAATCCGCCCAGAGCCAGGCAATACCTGTTTGCAGAGCCAGTACCACACTGAGTCTCCACTGTTAAGGGTGTGGTGGTGGGGATGGGGGCACAGCCAGCAGAGGTGTGTGTCACAGAAAGAGAAAACATGAGGATTGAGTGTCCCCCATTATTCTTTCATTCAGCAAAAATTATTGAGACCTTACTTTGTGCCAGGCCTTTACTTTGGGCTGGTTAGTAGGAATTCCGTGGTGGGAATACACCAAGAACAAGACGGACATGGTGTCAGACATACTGGAAGTCACAGCTTAATTGGAAAAGAGAGACAGGACGCGAATGATTACCTATGAAATACATAATTATGATTTTTTGTATTGAGTGCTGACAAATGCAGCAGTGCCATTAGAGTTTGTAATTTGGTCAGTGATGTTTAAGGTGAGAAGAGGCTGGGCACGGTGGCTCAGGCATGTAATCCCAGCACTTTGGGAGGCCGGGATGGGTAGATCACGAGGTCAGGAGTTCGAGACCAGCTTGGCCAACATGATGAAACCCTGTCTCTAGTAAAAACACAAAAATTAGCTGGGTGTGGTGGCAGGCGTCTGTTATCCTACCTACTCAGGAGGCTGAGGCAGGAGAATCTTTTGAACTCGGGAGGCAAAGGTTGCAGTGAGCCGAGATCTCACCATTCTATTCCAGCCTGGCGACAGTGCAAAACTACGTCTCAAAAAAAAAAAAGTGGGGGGGAGGAGAAGATAAAAAGGCTGTTCAGAGGAATGTGAACTGTTGAAGAAGGCAAAGAATGCTTTTAAGTTGGGAGAAGGAGGCTGAGGCCATGTAGTGATTGTGGAGTGGGGAAAACCAGTGTGTTGGATTAAACCTTGCACTTTTTATAGGTTCTTGGGGACTAACCACAGCCATTCAGAGCATGGATTCTGGAGCTAGACTCTGTCAAACTGAGTTTTGCCACTTATTGGCGGTATAAAGTTGGGGAAATTACTTAATCTTTCTGTGGCTCAGTTTCCTGATCTGTAAAATGGGGGGCGTAATAATGCATCGTAGGTGGGTGTGGACAAAAATGATATTTAATATTAGTAGAGTAGTTGGAGCAGTGTTTGGCATGTAGTCTGTGTAGGTGGTGATTGATTAAATAAATACACAAGTATTAAAGTCTTAGAGGCAGTCCCTGGTGAAACTTGTGAATTTGAGTGGATTACACTCAGCTTTTTTACATCTCCAGCTTTCAGTTGCTATTGGCCACAGCTATCTTGGCTCACTTTACCTTCCACCTCCCGGGTTCAAGTGATTCTCCTGCCTCAGCCTCCTGAGTAGCTGGGATTGCAGGCGTGTGCCACTATGCCCAGGTAATTTTTGTATTTTTAGTAGAGACAGGGTTTCACCATGTTGGTCAGGCTGGTCTCGAATGCCTGATCTCAGGTGATCCACCTGCCTCAGCCTCCCAAAATGCTGGGATTACAGGCATGAACCACCATGCCCAGCCTAGTCTTTTCATTTTTAAGCAGTGATTATAAAGGTAACCTTCTTTTTGGGTATCAGGATTAAATGAGATTATTGATGCAGAGGACCTGGAACAAAGTAAAACCCTCAGTAAATTATTATTGCTAGTTTTGATTCCCCTCCAGGCTGAATATCGTTTGGTTAAAGTTGCTGAATGTGCAGTAGCTATGAATCAGGGTGGTTCCTGCTGCCCTGAGTGAGTTATAGCTATAAAATAAAATAAAAAGCCAGTCAGCGTTCTGCGGCACCTGTAATTCTTTTACTTCTGTTTAGTTTGCTTCCTCCTTTTGTACAGAGTCCTTCTGGAGATAGGGAGGATGTGATCTGTCTCAGAGAGTTGCTCTGCAGGTGAAATGTGGAGTGCTTCCAGCAGTGCTTGGCATACCGGAGGTGTTCAGAGTTGGTAGTTACTGTCATCACCATCCCTCATTGTCATCAAATCGTTGTCGTCATTATGATCCTGGACTTGTGGTATCAATTAGAAGTTTCCCAGTTGGATATATTAGGTTTACACTAAATCCATTTGCCTCAATAGGTATCAGTTGAGCACTTCTCATGGTACCTCACTCTCCCTCCCTTCTCCGCTCTCCTTGTGATGTCCATTACGCTGTGCCCCAGTGTTTTTTTCTCCCCTCTTTTGTTTACCTGTGACCCATCCGTCTCACCAGCCCCTCACTGTGTCCACTACAGTTACCACCTGATAGTCAACATTTGCTTCTATTCTGTTAGCCTCTCCTTAGCCATTCCCTCTCTCCCTCCCTTTGCCTTCACCCTGACCCTTCCCCAGGGATATCCCGTTCTTGAAGCCCTCTCCCGTGGCTCCTCCTTCTTGTCCCCTGTGTATCTCAGGATCAGGGGCTTGAGCTGTGTGTCCCCCCATCTCATTTCATGGAGATCCTTCCCACCCAGCTGGAGCCCTCCTGACTGCTGTTGTTTACTTTCTCTTGATCATTCACCTCATTCATGGAAGACTGGGGTGCCTGGCTCAGAGTGTTCTCTATCTCAGTTCATGACTTCAGCTTAGGTGACCTCAGCATCCACATGGAGCCTATGACCAGGGAACTCACTTTCTTGAACACCTGGTCTGCAGTGATCACCTCTTCCCATCGGGTTCTGTCACCCATTCCCGCTGTGATACTCTGTGTTTTTATCCTGATGCTGCACTGCCTCACAGATGAGAGCGCAACACTCTTTATCCCCGACCCCGCTTTCCAAGTTGCTTGGCCAGTTATTTCTATTTCCCATGCTGTGCCCATTGCTTCTTAGCACCTCAGTGGTTTTCTGTATCTTTTAGGTAATCCCCCTGCTGTTATCTCCCAATGGATTACTTAGAGTTCATCCTTCATCCCTTAGTAATTCTGTTGACAATGTGTTTATCTTCCTTACCCTTTGGTCTTAGTAGACCCAAAATGCTGGTTTAACCAAACTATCCATTTTTGCCTTGAATACAGGTGCTAGAAATTACACAGTAGGGTGGCTTGGTGCCACTATGAATTCATGTCGGCCAACCTCACCTGTGCCCTTAACAGAACCTGACTATCCTAGTTTTTTTCTCAGATCAACTCACTCTCGATTTCTCTGGATACTTAATTGAGACATTTTTGACTTTCTTCAGACTTCTGATTTACTCCACCCCTTCTTTAGTCTCAAGATAATGTCAGCTGTTGCTCAACATAGAAAATGGGAGCCCTTCGAATGAGACTCTCTTAACCTCCCCCAAGAAACTCTTTTTGTTTTGTTTTGAGAGGGAGTTTTGCTCTTGTCACCCAGGCCGGGCAATCTCGGCTCACTGCAACCTCCATCTCCCGGGTTCAAGCAGTTCCCCTGCCTCAGCCTCCCAAGTAGCTGGGACTACAGGCACCTGCCACCACACCCAGCTAATTTTTGTATTTTTAGTAGAGACAGGGTTTCACCATGTTGGCCAGGCTGGTCTTGAACTCCTGACCCCAGGTGATCCACCTGCCTCAGCCTCCCAAAGCCCTGGGATTATTGGCATGAGCCACCGTTCCCCGTCTTCCCCCAAGAAACTTAACCATTCTTTTTTACTGTTACAGTTGTGGATGTCCTCCAGTAAAGACCACCAGATACACTCTGTAGTTAAGCAAGTTGCTGTTGTTCACTTTCTCCTGATCATTCACCTCATTCATGGAAAATTGGGGTGCCTGGCCCAGAGTATCCTCTACCTCAGTTTATGATTTCACCGTAGGTGACTTCAGCATCCACATGGAACCTATGACCAGGGCACGCACTTTCTTGAACGCCTGGTCTGCAGTTATTACTTACGCAAGGAGGGAAAAGTCACACCATGAGGAACTGTGGGGCACATCACCAAGAGGATATTAGACCTTTAGGATCTGTGCTTTGGCTGGGTGATTTGGGGGAAGGTCAAGGGATTTTCTCTGTATTGAGTACAGAAAGGAGGTGGGAAAATTCTATCAACCAGTAGCTGAATCTTTTCTAGAAGATTTGGCTGGAGTAAGGCTAAAGCTGTAACATGTAAAGAAGCCACAGTCACTTGTATCAGCTGGGAGAAAGAGATGTCTGGTATTCCACGAGTGACACGGTGACCTTGTTTTTTTCTCTGCTTAGACAAATGACGAGGTGGTCTCATTTAGTCTCCTGTCATCAGTGCTGCAGAGTGCCCTCGTGCGTGTGGTCTGCGTGATGTCCAACAGGAGAACAACATGGCCTTCCTGTGGGTGCCAGCCAGCTTCCAAGAGCCTGGCCTATAGCACCAGGCCAGCTCCTCAAGGTCACTGCTGCTTTACTCTTTTCCTCAGTGGAGGAGGTGTTAAAGAGATAAACTGGCAGTCCTAGCGCTTTGAGAAGCCAAGGCGGGCAGATCACTTGAGCTCAGGAGTTCAAGACCAGCCTGGGCAAGATGGGAAAACCTCCTCTTTACAAAAAAAGTAATTAACTGGACGTCACGGCGTGTGCCTGTAGTCCCAGCTGGTTTGGGGCTGATGTGGGAGGTCACTTGAGTCCGGGAGGTCGAGGCTGCAGTGAGCTGATGTTGCGCTACTGCACTGCAGCATGCGTGACAAAATGAGACCCTGTCTCAAAAAAACA